CTGATATATATATATATATATATATATATATATATATATATATATATATATATATATATATATATATATATATATATATATATATATATATATATATATATATTTTATGTATATGTGTATGTGTGTATGTGTATGTGTGTGTGTGTGTGTGTGTGTGTGTGTGTGTGTATATATATATATATATATATATATATATATATATATATATATATATATATATATATATATATATATATATATATATATATATATATATATATATATGAATTTAATTAAAAGTCTAAAGGCTGAAAATATACATAGACAAAAATTACTTATTAAATACAAAGACATTGTGGTGTGTGTAATTGCTGAGATGCCGTCATCACCAAAGCCAGGGTTTGGCTCGGACCACTGTGAAACTGATCATCGGCTTATCAGAGCCAAGCTCTCACTTCACGTTGCCCCAAAACGGCAAAGGCAGCAACCCTCCAGAAGAGGTTTTAACACTAAGCATCTGGAGGATCCAGCGGTAGCACATGCTTTCAGAGAGTGGCTCGAACATGGGCTGGTAAACAACCCGACAACAAACAACCGAAATCCCAGTGCCGAATGGAGTATTCTCGACACTGTCATGACAAAAACCTACAGAGAGACCCTTGGCCAAATCAAGAGAATACACCAGGACTGGTTTGATGAAAATGACCCGGCAATCAATGTACTCGTCGATGATAAACGTGCTGCTTTAACTGACTGGCAGAACAACCCTCGGTCTCGGTCAAAGCTGATACCTTCCGAAAGAAGAAAGCGGTGGCCCAGCACGAACTTTGCAATCTAAAGAATGACTAGTTTAAAAACAAAGCATGTGAAACGCAAAAACTTGCAGATCAGCACGAGACGAGCGAATTTTTCAATTCCACCAAAACATTTTATGGGCCAATCACTCATGGTACATCCCTTCGCTCATCCGACGGTAACTCTCTAACTAAAGTCGAAGAGCATCCTTCAGCACTGGAAAGAGCATTTACCACTGCTCAACTGAAACACCGCCGTGGATGTCCTGACTACCCAGCAGGTCCCTCAGCATCCAGAGCTGACCCACCTCAGCTATCCTCCATCCCTGGATGAGGTAGCTACTGCCATCAAGCAGATTAAAATAACAAAGCCTCAGGGCCTGATGGCTTCCCAGCCAAGGTGAATAAAGCAGGAGGACCTCGGCTTACCAGCACCTGGCACCACTGACATGATCTTTGCAACTCGTCAGATACAGGAAAAGTGCAGAGAACAGCGTCGTGACCTGTACATGGCCTTCATTGACCTAACCAAGGCCTTTGACTCGGTCAACAGGGAAGCCCTCTGGTGGACCCTCAGCCGTTTTGGATGCCCACCATAATTCATTGCCATTGTGAGGCATCTCCACGATGGCATGAATGGCAGTGTCATGTGCAATGATACCCAGTCAGAGTTCTCCATCCAAATGGGGGTAAAACAAGGATATATACTGACACCAACTCTCTCTTCCATTTTCTTGGCTGCCTTCCTTACTCGTGCCAGTGTCAATTTAGCCGCTGGCGGACATAGAGTACTGAATGCCTTAAGGGTCTTTTCAACATAAGACGACTCCAGGCAGGGACAAAGGTGTCGGCAGCTTCCATTACTGAACTTCAGTATGCAGACAAGCTCACTCTTGTTGCTCACACTAAATTGCACCTACAGGTGAATGTACAAAGGACTCAGATTCTCTTTCAACCTGCCCCTGGTTCAGACACACTTCCACCATACATCCAGCTTAATGGTACTACCCTCTCTAAAGTTACTTTTTGGTATCTCTGCTCCCAATTGTCCTCCTAAGTGGACATCGATGAAGAGATTCAACATCGGATCAGATGTGCATCTCATGCTTTTGGCAGACTCCGAAACCGTGTCTTCACCTGTAGGGAGCTGAAATTCTCAAAAAAATTACACATACAGTATACAGTGGTCTCAATAATCGCCGTTAACAAAATTTCGGTTAATGAATTACCTTCCATAAGAATCTTCACCGTTAATCTAACAAAAATTGATTAACGAACCTTTCTAAAATCACGCTTGTTGTGAGCATCAGCTGGTCAGCTGATGGCCCAGTCTGCCAATTCAGTAATCTGTTCAATGTTTAAATTCGTTTCCAATTCAGTAAATATAATAAAGTTGGGGTTTTTAATATTTTTGAATGTTTCATATTAATATTGTTAGTCATTTTAACATTAAATATTGATAATATATGCAGTACAGGGAACTGATATCACGTGTTGTTGCTTTGAGCATCAGCTGTTCAGCTGAGGGTTTACAGTACAGTGAGTTCTGCTATAATGCGTGTTCTGACAACGCGAATTGGCTGTAACGCGATTTATGAATAGAGGAATGATATTTGCATAATGCAAACGCTTTTTTTGCTGTTACGATTTCTTTTGCTTACTATTTCTCCAATTTTGTGGTATTAACTGTGAATATGGTAAAGAATATCTCCGAAGCGTTTGGTGATCGCATTCCGTGATGATCGTAAAAGAAAGGCTATAACCCTTGAATAGAAGCTCATGTTATCAACCTCAAAATCACCCTTCTCCCCATCAAGTTATATTCATATTTTTTCAAGGTAAAGTGTTACATTTACTGTATGATTTCATTATTAGATATGAATGCAACATTTATTTAGACTGTGCTATCCTTTGTGTTAGGCTAACTACTAAAGTTTTTTCGATTTCGAGTAGTAATCTGCACCTAACCCTATTTTCTCCATAAGCCCTGTTATTTCTATTACGCTGTAATTTCTATAACACGATGTTTTACAAGAACACAACTATCGCGTTATAGCAGAACTGACTGTACTGTACTCAGCCAATTCAGTAATCTGTGCTATGTTTAAATTCGTTTCCAGTGGAGTAAATATCAAGAAAATTAAGCTCTTAAAAATTTTTGAATGTTTTATTTTAAAATTACTGTATTAGTCATTTTAACATTTATTTAACATATTGATAATATTACATGCAGTACCCCCTGTACAGGTTCAGTCTGGCTTTGTTTAATGTCGAGAGAGCAGCCATATTGTTGGTGTCTAATATTTATGCATTTTTCATTGAAATTATTGGTCAGTCTGAACTTTAGTTAACATATTGATAATATATAGTGCGGTGTAGTGTTGATCTAAAGAAAATAATCTTGAATTA